GCAAGAAATGGTGAGGATACCTCCTACTATCTAATATCAAAAGCTCACATCACTACAACTTCCAAATCAAAACAAAAATGATAATAAGCTAAACTAATATTATTACATCTTTATTTTTTTTCTCATCCTAGGTACCCACGCCAACCTGAACAATCTCACCAGCCATCTCCTAGTATTACCAAGCATAATTAAAAAAAATCATCAAGCAATGAGATATGAAGGGAATTAGGGAATAAAAAAAATGCAATATACAGGATTGCAGCACAAGAACATCCACTTGAAGAGCAATCCTTGCAAGCAAACAGGCTCAAAACCAGGGGTTTAATTAGTGCAAGACAAGAGTGACGAATTTGCGGAGGCCTATCACACAAAACCAACAGTCTTGACCCAGCGACAACCCTCGAGGCCTTCCCTTCCCAAGCCCATTGCCTTGCAATAATAACACCTAAAAATGACATTTTTTAAAAAATTAGAAAAAAATGATATATTTATGCAAATATGTGTGCATTAAAATATAGGAAAATAATAAATTTTGTGAAATTAAAAGTAAATATAAGGTTAGAAACTTTTTGGTACATACATGTTGTCAAGCAAGATTTATTTATGTGATGATTGGTCTTGATTTAAAGTTAAAATGAATTCAAAATTTATTTGAAAATGAGATTAAATGTATTGGAAAAAGAAAAGAAGTTTTTTTCCTCCCCTCCTTTCCTTACTTTCGCCCTTATGGCCTTTCTTTCCATGCCCGCTCGCTCTTCCCCTCTCTCCTTCTGGGCCATTGTGACCAAGACCAACCCTAGCATCCATTGGCCAAAACCACCCGAATGGCTGGTAGCAAACTGGCACCTCCTTCCCCCCCGATCGTGACCGCTTGCCCCGCCGTCAGTAGCGTTCCCCCCTCCTCCGCCTCAGCCTCGCAGACGCCATCGACGCGCAACAATCCTCCCGCTTCCACGCGTGGGGCGCGCCTCTCCCATGCCCCGCCTCTTTTTAAAGCCGAGCCCTCAAGGCCCCTCTCTCTTGCTCCCCCGCTCCATTTTTCGCTCTCGCTCACGCCTCGGAAGCGCAACCCCAAGAACGCTGGGATCCACTGTGCGCGAGCCATGGTCCCCGAGCCATCTCCGACCTTATTTTCCCCGTGAAGAATCCCTTGCTCCCTCTCTCTCCCCTATCTTTTACCTTGGCATTTGGTGGCTTGTATGGCCATTTCAAGGCGTCCTGAGAAGCTCTTGCTCACTGGCCATGGCGCCCACGCCGGACCTCTCCTCTCCTCCGCCTTCTTCTCGGCATGACCATGACCCCCTTCTTCTTCCCAGCCACCCGTGCCCTCGGTTGTCCATTTGGTGAGCCAGAGACCTTTAACTGCGCTCGGCGAGTCCATCGCCACGCCCATGGCGCTGCCACCGGTGACCTCCCTTCGGCCAGCCGACCCCCCAGCCGATCCTAGCCGCCATCGCGAGATCAACGGCCAGAATAGAAGATACCCTTCGCGGGTCATTTTGCATAAGAGCCCTTGGACTTTTCTAAGTCTTAACCCGCAGCCCAAAACATATTTCCTCGAATGCGCAATCTCGATTAGAAAGCGTAAACTCCACGGCTTAAGTCAAAAGTACGCTTTCAGATTTTCTGAAATGCCATTTGAACTGCTTTCGCTTATAAAATTGTCGCTTAGCTCCGAATTGATCCATTCAAATCGCGTTAGCTTCGTAATTTCATAAGCTACATGTTAGAACTACTGTTAGTCAAGTTTGGAACTTTTTAATTTCATGATTAGATTTAATTAAATATATGGCTATAGGAAAACCCGCTTTAAATCATAACTTTCGCATTTTAGCTCTGCTGAACTTCGCGTTGACGTGATCGTAGCGAGACGTAGAAATATGTTTACAAATATTTTATCTTGTTTTCAATACTGTTGGTGTACTGTTCTAATGATAGGAATGTTTGCTTTGCATGAATGCTTTTGGAATGTTGTATGTTGCCGTGTTGGTCGCGTTCAGACGGTGAGAAAAACGTTGGAGACCAAGAAATCTTGACGACCAGCAGGGACCAAAGACGTTTGTGAACCAAGGCAAGTATAGCATGGGCCTTCATTGATGTCCTATTCACCTTAATCAAGTACTCATTTGCATGTGTCTAATTTTGATACCCGTAAGGATATCCTAGTGATTGTTTATCCTGCCTTCCTTGTCTCCTATGGGTTAAATGCATATGGGTAGATTGCTAGTGCTCTAACCGAACTTGACATACATGTTGATGAATGATACTATGGAACAAAGTGAGTAACATGATTTATAACAACTGTTCCATAGGGCGAAAGTGCAAATGACCTTTGTTCATGTTGCTCTCGGCCCTCATAAGGACTTATCTGTCGGCAAAAAGCTGGGACCATACAAAGGCAACCGTGAGGGTCATATGGCTCGACTTTAGCTCAGTAATAGGACCTTTTCTAGCTTGTTAGAGGTTACCTTTATGGCGCAAATGGGGCTTGCCACGTTGGGTATAGGGATCGCCTCTGCTCCTATGTGTATAGCGCGATGGATATGTGCCATAGGAAAGGGGGTTCCTACATCTCACTGCCAAGGAAACCTAGCGGCCCTAACTTGTTAGGGAAACCTATGAAATGGCTTCATAGTGTACCCTGCCTGCTCACCTTGGAAGTGACATGGGAGTAATTAATCCGGGCATATGGGGATCCGACTCATGGTGAATGTGCACCACCTCTGCAGAGGGTAACAAATCTGTTATAACAAAGTGCTCACGGTCACGAGCGGCCCGGAAAACTCACAGAATAACTGGTTACTTGTTGATGATAATTTAAAGTTGTTCAATGATGATATATGGTACACTTGACCCCGATATATGTTCTTATGGGAATTAAATGGGAGCTTAAGCATAACTTGATAATACTTGAGAATAAAAGCTTGACCTACTAAAAGTGCTAACTGCAGTAAACCAGTGTCGACCTTTTTGAGCTTCATAACCCCATGTTATCTTGTTGAGTACGGGACATACTTACGCTTGTTTAATTTTTAATATTTGGATAAAAATCCCGGATGGGTAACAGATGCCAATGGATATGAGGAGTTTCCTGAAGATTATTAGGCTTGTGGTCAACCAGTTGACCTTCCCTGTGATGGAGTTCCACGAGAGTGTCATCTTTTTAATCTTCCGCTGTGTTGTGTAAGTCTATGTGATGTTATAAATCATGATGTATGAGACACCGTGATGATACTTTATGTAATTTGTTAGCTTGTGTGTGTGATTGATTCCTGGTTACACACGAGTTTTGTGCATTCAATTTTATCCTTAAAATTGGGTGTGACAGGCGCCCACCATCGCCACCCCCAGGTCCTCCCTCCCATCCTGCCTCCCAAACACCACCCTCCAGCCGGCGCTAGCCGAGCTCGGCGCGGCCAGGCCATGGGACGCACAGGAGCTCACTTGGCCACCGCCCCCAGCAGCCGCTACCTCGCCGCCGCCGCCGCCCCTCGCGCTGGAGGCTACTCCGTCCGTGGAGCCCGTCTCTCCAAGCTCCTCCCATCCATCCTCCCCCAGATCCCTCCCACAGCTTTCCTCGGAGCTCCATCGCCAGCCAGATCTAGAAGAGCGGCTTCGTCCTCTCGGATTGGAAGGGATGCAGACCGTGTGTCTCTCTCCTCCCCCTCTCCCAGCCACCACAGCCTGCTTGCGACCGCCCTGGCACCGGCAGCCACCTCCTCCACCTTCTCCCTCCCTCCCCTCGCCACCCCCCTTCTTCCCTAGCTGCACATTGGCGGGCAGATCCAAGGCCCAGCGATGGGAAGCAAACTCCTTCGCTGGCGACTCCGACTACGATTCCGATGGCGCGTCCCCAATCGCGCCCTACCTTGAAGTCGCCACGGGCCTTCTCGGTTGAGACGGCGAGGAACGCCTGTGGGCGAGGACAGCGAGGACGGCGAAGCGGGTGAGGCGGCGATGATGGGGAGCCGGTGAGAACCGAGCGTCGCGGCTCTTGTTTGACGGGATCGGGACGGGCGTCGGCCTCGGCGGGGCGGGCGGTCGGCGGCGCCATTGTAGAGACGGGCGGTATGGTCTGGTATCTGGCAACACCGAATGCCTCTGCAGACAACGCACGCGGGTTTATTACGACGCGCGGTATCGCAAGGGGAGGGGTGGACCGACGGAGCGACGATTATCGCACGAAACGGTGGTTTTACTTTCTTTCTTTTTAGTTGTAGGAGATATATAGTCTCATTTTGGTGTTTATTTCCTCTCGTTATCTGTTACATTATGAATCCATGTCCTAATCAATCTGTTTTTTTTTTGTCCTAGCGATTTTTCCTTTATTATCGTCATCAAGGAAAGGTTAGCAATATTAGAAGTGGTCCCATGGTGGGTGTTGAATCGTAACAAGCTGAGACGTGATAGTGTCGATCGAAGCGTATCGTCGAAGTGGTGACTGATGAATGGTGATTGGTGAACGTTGCTGTCTTGCTTGCACCTTCGATGTATGTCATTCAGCTGTGCCACTTCTTTCCGAAGTCCGAATCCAGTGGGCATTGCATGCATTTCACTTTCCAGAGACCTTTGAAACTTCATCTTTTCCACAAAGCTGCTACTATTACATTATTGATATTTAACTAAGCCAAGGCGACGGGGCCTTGTTGCAACCAAAGAAAGAACAACCATCAAACACTCCCACTACCACTTCAACATCGACTTCTTTATTACACGATCACTTCACATTCACATGCCCTTTTTCTTCTTCTCGAGATCGACCTCCAAATTCTTCTGGCAGTTTTTCCACATGACGGGCGAACAATTTCTTCTGATCACGAAACATCAATTAATGTAGTACAAAGTACTACCCCTCAGTGAAGTCCATGGATCGACTACGGACACGTCTTGTAAGCTTTTATTTACTCATTCACCAAGCCGCTATCTTCTTTGGGTGCTGGTTGATCACTGTGGCTTCCCGGGGTTGAGGAAGGGGCAAGCTTGCGGCGGCGGGACAGCACCTGTCTCCGACACGGCAGCGGCCTCGGTGAGCCTCTCGGCGAGCGCCACGACCTCGCCGCTGTCCTCCTCGGAGGAAGCCACCTTGGGGCCCTTGAGAAGGCCTCCCAAAAGCTCGCCCGGGTCGTAGTATACCTCCACGTCTTCCGCCCGCAGCTGCTCATCCACCTACTCACACTCACACAATGAGTCAGTGACATAAAGACCACTGGTAGCGTCATCTACATATCACAAAATCGTCACTATTACTTTTGTAGTGCTAATAAAGAAGAGATAAGGATCAGCTGTATCTTGCTGCGCTACACATAACTATCGTATCACTTTTATTACTAGTATATCGTATTTTTTTGAACATGACAAAATGGTCAATTATTCATCACTAGCCATACACTAAACTACTACTAAGGGATTTTTTTTTTACCAACACGTGGACCGAATTGTCGATAGCTACGTGCGCGTGCACGCATCTTGCAGCTGCTGTAGTAACCTAGTAGTAGCATAGCATTAACTGAGGCGGGGCAAGGCAAACGAAGTACCTTGAGGACGGCGACGCCGTGGAACTCGACCTTGTCGCCGGTGGCGGCGTGGCCCTTGTACGGTCCCTCCTTGTGGCCCCAGTGCCGGAACTTGAAGGCGATGACCGGCGGGCCGGAGTAGACCTTGAGCACCTCCCACGCGAAGCCGCGCGGGAACGCGGCGCGGAACAGGTCGTGCGAGGACTGGAACGTCTCGGCGGAGGCGTCGTACGCGCCCGCGCTCGGCAGGAGCGGGCCGTCCAGCAGCGCGTTGTAGCTGCCCATGGCCAGCGTCTCCTCCCCGGTCCGGGGACGCCCGCCGTTCACGGACAGGCGGAACTTGCCCGGGCTCACGGACTTGAAGTCCGACAGCCGCGCCTTGTGCGACAGCTCCATCTCCCACGTCTTGATCGCGTTCTGCACCACCTCCTCCAGTGAGCCCGCCGGCCACTCCTGCACGCCACGCCGTCGTCAGCAACCAAGATGCTATCTGTGCATGTGTGAAGAAGAAACCAACACGTCGTCGAACCTGAGTGCGCTCGGCCTCGAAGAGGGCGTTCACGGCGTCGTACGAGGGCGGCGCGCCGTGCCGCCACACGGTGTGCTTCTCGCCCTCGCCAGCCAGGTGGGACCTGTAGCTGTCGCCGCCGGAGGAGTCGGCCGCCGCCGTGGCCTCCATCTGATCGATCTGGGCCACGCGCAAGGTCACAACTCACAGCCACAGCGTCCGACGGTTTGCACGGCCAGTCGTTCGTGGGGGCTGTCTGGTGCGCGATAGCTCACCCTGGAACGGAACGGATGTGCCGGTGGTTTTAAAGGGGTGTGCGTACGTCAGTACGCTCGCGCACTGGTCCACTCCAAAACCCACGGTGTGCTGTGTGTGAATTGGGATGCGCGGGCCGTTGCGGGTTCTTATAGATCGACGTACATTGCTTTCGGCCTTACTCGATACACATGTATTCATTTTAATTCATACGTGTTCAAATGAATTAAAGCGAAATTAATCTAAGTTTCATTCCAATTCACTCCAACACACGTGAATTAAAGTTATATATATATATATATATATATATATATATATATATATATATATATATATATATATATATATATATATATATATAGTATTCAGTAGTCAGCTACAAAAATAAGTTATTCTATAGCCACATCTATTTACGATAATTGGGTTACTATAACACATGAGGATATTTACCATAACGTTATAGTAAACCACTTAGTAAGGAGTTACTATAATCTCGTAAATTAACATAGTAATTATCGTAACTTAAAGTGGCTACAGAATAAGTTATTTTGTAGTCGGCTAAAGAGCAGTAGTTCTCTCTCTCACTATATATATATATATATATATATATATATATATATATACACACACAGTTATCGTAAATCGGTATAAACATTATCGTAAATCAAGGTGGCCATAGAATAAGTTATTCTGTGGCCAGCTGTAGAATAATATATATAGACGTATTGTAGCTGGCCGCAGAATAAGGTATTCTGTGGCCACTTTGAGTTACGATAATTACTATACTAATTTACGAGATGATGGTAACTCCCTCATAAGTGATTTACTATAGCATTATAGTAAGTATCATCTTGAATTATAGTAACCCATATATCGTAAATGTGTATTGTCATTATCGTAAATTGGTACAAATATTATCGTAAATCAAGGTGGCCATAGAATAAGTTATTCTGTGGCCAGTTGTAGAATAACCTTACCGTACATATACATACATATATATATATATATATATATATATATATATATATATATATATATATACAACGAACAATAGATTCATAGGCGAGTCTAATTGACTGCGTGGTTTGGACTTTATCCAGGTGCAGTGCATGAATACGATTCATCCGTCGTGTGTGTGTGTGTGTGTGTGTGTGTGTGTATACCTTCGTGGATACGTCGTAACTCTCACAACGAACAATTGATTCATAGGCGAGTCTAATTGACTGCGTGGTTTGGACTTTATCCAGGTGCAGTGCATGAATACGATTCATCCGTCGCTAGTGTCGGCTGTGTGCCACGATGAGTCGTGCCGTCGAAGTACTCCAATTGGCCGGGAGAACTTGTGTCCGGGGTCGGAGTGTGATGATTATGGTGTGCTACTGCGAAGATATGCATGGAGGATGGCGCAACTGGATATATTATCCAATCTACGAAGTAGACTGAATTGTTTCTTGCCCCGCCTAGCAACAACACCGGTCGTTGGATTTTATAGGCTATTTAGGAGCTATGATTATCCAAGTTACCTAGCATCAGGGCTCACAACCAAACAACCCTATTTCTATTTTTATTATAATTTCAAACTGTTTTAAGTTTACTAAGTTTCTACAAAAAGATATCAATATTTATAATACCAAATAACTATTATCCATAACATGAAATATAATTTTATAGGACATCTAAATGGTTTTATAATTTGATAGTACTTCCACCATGGTTTTTTTTTGAAACAAACACGCAGAGTCTATTTATTCATTCACAAGAGGTTCAGCCAAGTAGCGAACCAAAATATCAGATACAAAACTAGGGAGGGGATCAAGCCAAACATGTGGTTGATCCAAGGGTCCCAATCAAGACTCAGACGTGCGAGATCATGAGCACGGTCTAGGAATATGGAAAACTTGAACTGAATCAAAGCAAAACGAAATTAGCTCCCTCAGCTACTGTGAATATGCATGGAGGATTGCGCGATTGGATGAATTGCCCAATTTCTAGAGTAACATAGTAGACTGAATTGTTTCTTGCCCTCCACCCATCTCCTACCCCTCACCGCCAACCAAAAACAAACTTTGGAACTCTTTGGTTTAGAGATGAGAAAGGCAGACCTAGCAGCAACAACCGTCGTTGAATTTTGGAGGCTAGGACCTAGGAGCCTAGATTGAATAACACTATGTCACCTCCAATGGTGATTTATGAACTAGTTTAAGTATATTGTTTTATATTTAAATATATAAAAGAAAAGGAAAACGCATATCTTGATCAAAAGCTACTCTCGTGTACATGCTTCAAGATCATGTAAAGTTATCATGTGGGGTCATTCATATTATGAGCCGTGTGCTAAAAGTTAATATTATTGGAGAAGTTGTTTTACGGCCAGTAACTATCTCATATTGTTGTCCTAGGCTCCAACCAAACAACCATATTTCTATCTTTGTTATAATTCAAACTGTTTTAAGTTTGACTAAGTTTTATAAAAAAAATATCCATTTTGACAATACAAAATAAGTATTATTAGACCCAATGATATGAAATATAATTTTATATATCTAAATGGTTTTATAAGTGTTGATACTTTTCTCCATAAATTTGATTAAGCTTACGATAATTTGACAAAGAAAAAGCTAGAAATAAAACCGTTTTTAGAACAGGAGTAGTAATTTATTTCTTTCTTTTATTTTTTGATGACGAATTGATGAGTAAAGGTACAAATGGTGACGCTCGATATGACAGCGGTCCCGTCTTTTTCCTTCATTCTTCCTTCTTCATTTTCATTTTCTATATACCCATCTTTCTTTTCTTTTCTTTCTTTTTTCCACATTATTTTCTTCTCCCTCCTTTCCAAACTCATCCTACGTACCCATTTGCTCCTATATGCTTTAAACAAAAGTTTCTTCAGCTATCTTTCTTTTTTTTTAAAAAAATAACTACAAAAGTTATTTTTAAAAATATATGTCCAGAAATTATTGAAGGTATAAATTGTGCTTTGATAAGTTTTTATACGTAACTTTGTTGATCTGAGGTTTAGAAAGAAAATCAGGTACGATCTGAGTTGTTAAGGAAAAAAACGTATAAAAAACATTGTTCAACGAAGTTGTTCTAGAAACTAGCTTTGAACAACTTTTTTTTTCTTGAAAAGGCGAATTATGTTATTGTCATTTGAAAGTTTAATTTATTACTTTGCAGGAGATGATTGATCTTGCCGTGCTAGATTTATTTATCCAGCTGCTGACAGCTTCACTAGCGGCAGAGGCGCTAGGGGGGCAACACACCCTAATCCTCCAGTTAAAAAAGGAGGATTACCTTTACTTCTTGTGCTAATTAATGTGTATTAAGTGAACTTGGCCCCTCTTGCCCTATCAAAAAAAAAACTTAGCCCCTCTTGCTAGATAACCACTACTATGTCTTTTTGACAATGGTCCCCATATATCAATTTTCTGGCTCCGCCCCTGACTAGCGGCCGGATTAGGCTTCATGTGATATGATGCAGAGAGGCGGCTAAGCACGGATAAGCAAATGCAAAGGTCGATTTCCACGCCTGATTGGTGAACTGAGAATCAAAGCATTAGATGAACAAAGTGTTTGTCAAATGATGCTGTGACGAAGACCAAAAGACAAACATAATCGAAGTACTCGGCATGCCCGGCCTGCTCGCTGTCTCTCGTTCGCCGCTCCTCCCGTGACCAAGTCGTCATCTCTTTTTTATTAAAAAAATCGTCATCTTGCAACAGAATCAAAGGAGACAGAACAACTCTGGCTGCGTCTGGCACTGTGGCACGCAGCACTTCTGCACTTGTGAAGAAGGATGTTGCTCCAGAACCAGCACTTCTGCACTTGTGAAGAAGGATGTTGCTCCAGAACCAGAAGTGCATGAATCGATGAGGCACGCCAGCGACTTGTTGATGCTCTCTGGACGTCAGCATCCAAGGCTGCTCAAACGAACCTGTGTGATGCAGAAGGAGCTGCACTTGAATACATGCTATGATGCTAGTGTTCAGTGTTCACGGTCAATTGGATCGACCTCGCAAATTAAAGAGCGTGCATGCATGAATCTCGGGCTTGGCACCAGCGACTTGTATAGCCCAGGAGCACACTAGGAAGGAGTAGTATTAAGCCTCAGGAGCACACTTTAGGTACTGTTTAGGTGCTCTCACAACTCCACCATTTTTCCCGGAGTAGTATTTAAAACTAGGCTCTACGTGGAGAGTTGCCTCAAAATCAGCCTACTTGTAGAGTTGCCTCAAAATCAGCCCTTGTTTGAATTTGGGGTTACTGTAGCACATTCGTTTTTATTTGGCAAATAGTGTCCAAACATGGATTAATTAGGCTCAAAACGTTCGTCTCACAATTTCCCACCAAACTATGCAATTAGTTTTTTTTCGTATACATTTAATGCTCCATGCATGGGCCATAAACATTCGATGTGAGAGGTACTGTAGCACTTTTTTAGGATTTTGGACTTCAACTAAACACGCGCTCAACAGAGAACCTACAAGCGTCGGCCCCGTTCGGCCCGTTCGCTTCGCTAAAAAAAAATAAGACGAAACATTGTTCCGGATAATTTATTGTGAGAAAAACATTGTTTCGGATAATTTATTGTGAGAGAAAAACACTGTTTCGGCTAAAAAAACAAGCTGAAAAATATGGATTATAAGATAAACGAACAGGGCCATTTCCTAGCTCATTGTCCTTCCAACTCGCTACACTGCCTATTTTATCTTTTGGAAGAAACATATTGGAGGAGGAAGTGAGTCAACTCCTGTTTAGATCTATGTGCTAAAGTTTAGCTCATCTCTATTAGTCATCTTTTAACCCCATGATCCGAACATGAGGGCTAAACTTTAGTCCATCCCTTTTCCATTAACCTCTCCAAAGTGGGCTAAAGAGGGTTAAAAGTAGTCATGTGAAGCAAAAGACGCATA